AAGGAATTAAAAACAGCCTGTAATCAATATGTCCTGATGCTACTTTTACAACAGCATTGTTAGAGAGTCTTACTCTGGACGCTTTCTCCACCCCCACCCCCCCACCCCCACCCCGGCCAGGGGATTGGAAACAAATGGCTAGAACATGCCTGTCAGGTGGAGACTATCTGCTGTGGAAAAAATAATCGAGTTTGTGGAACAATGTCAGGCCACAGCAAAGATAAATTGGGTCCAGCAGATTCCCATCACTTTTGATATGCTTGCTGGAGAAGGCCCATATCAGGAGATAGGTCCACAGGTAGATTTTGATGTCGCAGTGTATGCTCGGGTTAATGCAGCTACAAAAAGAGCCTGGAATAAGCTTCCATCATCTGGAAGACAGAATGAGGATTTGTCTAAGATAAGGCAAGGACCTGAAAAATTGTTTCAGGATTTCGTTTCCAGATCAATGCAAACAGCAGGCAGGTTAATTCGAGATTCAAAATCTGGACTTTTGCTGGTGAAACAACTCACTTATGAGAATACCAATGCAGCATGCCAGGCTGCAATGTGCCCTTTTAGAAAGAAAGGAAACATCTCTGACTATATCTGACTTTGTTCAGATATACAGCCACCGTACAATCAAGGGATAGTTATGGCTGCAGCATTACAAGGAAAAAGAGTCAAGGGTTTTTGTACCAGCAAAGCCATCCTGATTCCAGAAAAGGGAAAGCTGCCAGACCCAGGGAAGTCGTTTTGGTTCTGGAAAGATGAGACACCATGTTAAGAGGTGTCCTGACAGGAGAAATAGCTTAAAGGCAAATAGAGAACATGAGCTATTCCTGAGATACAAGAGAGGGAGACATTGGACTAATAAATGTCTATCAAGGATGAATACCCAGGAGAATCCATTGCATGGAAATGGATGGAGGGCATGCCCCAGACCCTAATAAAATAGACCTTTGGGATAACGCAGCTGTCAATCTTCCATCAAAGAAATATAGCCATGATCTCTATACAGCAGCCCTGGGTAATGTTTGCTGGATCTCAGCTCTTCCATCTATGCAGTTTTGACCCCTGAAATGGGGGTGCAGGCCCTCCCTACAGGCATTTATGGACCTTTCCCAAAGGGCTCTGTAGAGCTGTTGCTGGGAAGAAGTAGTACCACCATGCAGGGAATCTTTGTTGCTTCTGGAGTAATTGATGCTGATTATGTGAGAGAAATAAAGGTGATGACTCATTCACCCAAAGGAATTTCAATAACAAAGATTGGCCGGAGACTTGCACAGTTAATTTTACTTCTTCAGATACAAACAAAAAATCCAGTCAAAAGAGATAAGAGAAGAGAAGCTTGATTTGGTTCATCAGATGCCTATTGGCTACAAGCCATAGTTCCACACTGTACAGGACTCACTTTAATTATAAATGGGAAAAGTTTCTTGGGTCTTTTAGATACAAGTGCAGATTTATCTGTTATATCTGCTAGTCAATGGCCTTCTATGTGGCCAAAAATGGAAATTATGACACACTTGCAAGGGATTGGTCAAACTCAGTGTCCTGAGCAGAGCAGCAATGAACTCTCCTAGTGAGATTAAGCAGGTCATGAAGGAACATTTTGACCATACATTGTCCCACACTTGCCTGTAAATTCGTGGAGTCCAGATGTTGTGAGCCTTATGGGAGTATATTTATATAGTCCCAGTGCACCCATCTCTAAACAAGAAGTTCCTGACCAAAAGTTAATAGAAAGGTCATCTTTACCCCCTAAAGTAAAGCTAATAGGGAGCGGTCAGAATATTTTTAGGAAGGGTCATTGAGCAGCCTTTACTCCATGCAGATCCTGTGACTTGGAAATCCGACCACCTGTGTGGATAGATCAGTGACCCCTAACAGAAGAAAAAATACAAGCCATCCAGCAGTTAGTACAGGAACAGTTGGATGGTGGTCATATTGAACCTTTTAATTCTCCTTTAAATTCTCCTATTTTTCTGATCAAAATAAGTCAGGGAAAAGGAGATTATTACAGGATTTAAGGAAAATTAATGAGAACATACAACCATACAATAGGAGTTTTATAACCTGGATTGCCTATCCCTAATGCTATACCAGAAAATGCTTATAAAATTATTTTGAATTTGAAGGATGGTTTTTATACCATTCTTTGGCTCTCCAAGACTGTCAAAGATTTGCATTTAGTGTTCCCTCAGTTAACTTTAAAGAACCCGTGAAAAGATCCCATTGGCACTTGTATTTGTTCAATAAATAAATTAAGACACATTAAGAGAGAAAGAAAGAGAGAAAGAAAGAAAGAAAGAGAGAGAAAGAAAGAAAGAAAGAAAGAAAGAAAGAAAGAAAGAAAGAAAGAAAGAAAGAAAGAAAGAAAGAAAGAAAGAAAGACAACAACCCCCCCCCACCGAGAAAAAAAGGTTCCATTGGCAGGTTTTGCACCAGAAAATGGTCAATAGCCAAACACAGTGTCAGAAATTTGTAGCTCAAGCTTTCAAAAAAGTTAGAGATCAGTTTCAGCAGGTTTATGTTATTCATTATATGGATGATTTTTTCCTTGCACATAAAGATGAAGAAATTTTACTTAACACCTTTGGACAACTTCAGTGCTATCTTACTTGCCCAGAGTTAATTATTGCTCCAGAGACAGTACAAAGACCTTTCCAGTATCTAGGACATGTCTTATACCCTAAGAAAATAAAGCCTCAAAATTTGTAAGTATGAAAAGATGGGTTAAAAAATTTAACTGATTTTCAAAAGTTATTGGTGGGCATTCAATGGTTATGACCTTATTTAAAATTGTTTACCAGTAATTTGAAACCTTTCAGTGGTATTTTAAAAGGAGATAGTGATCCTAATTCACCCAGACAGTTATTTGAAAAAAAGTTTTCTTGCAAGTTGAGAAGGCTATTCAAAATCAGCAAGTACATTACATTAACTATACCCTACTTTAACATGCATATATTTTACCCACTAAACATACTCCTACAGCAGTATTATGGCAAAACAACTCTCTTTTATGGTTGCATCTTTCTGTTTCACCAGCCAAGGCATTAAATCCATACTACAAATTGGTAGCTTGTTTAGTAAAGAAAAGCAGAATTGAATCTAGATGTTGTTTTGTTAAAGAAACAAGTGTAATTAGTGTTCCTTTTGCAAAACAGCAAACTGATTGGCTTTTCAAAAATAGTGATTCTTGGGCAATTGCCTTTTCACAGGTTCTAGGTCACACTGATAATCAGTTTCCAGGTGACCAATTGTTACAATTTGCTCAAATGTATTCATCTGTATTTCCTAAGATTGTTATGAAAGATCCTGTAGAAGATGCTGTGCTAGGTTTTACTGATGGTTCTTCTAATGGAAGGGCTGATTATGTTAAAATGGAAAAAGCTACATAGTACAAGCAACCCCAGCTTCTGCACAGACAGTGAAATTATGGTCAGTGATCATGGTTTTTCAGTTTCTTGTGAACAGCTCATTTAATTTATATATGATAAACATAGCTCTTTAAGTTATAAAATTGTTCCATGCATTGGGACTAGCCACAGTCAAGTTAAAATGCTGTTCCAACAAATTTAAGACACCAAAGAAAGTTACAATGTTTTGTGGGTCATATTAGAGCTCATTCCAATATTCTTGGCCCTTTAGGTGATGGTATTACAACACCTGACAAATTAACAAGGATGGTTGCCTTATTCCAAGTAGAACTGGCTCAACAGTTACATGCTTTTCGTCATCAAAATATCAAGAGTCTCAGGAAGCAATTCAATCTTACCAGGGAAGTTGCTTGACAAATAGTTAAACAATGTGGGGTATATCCAAAATATTTCCCTGTCCCTTACTTAGGAATAAACCCTCAAGATCTCCTTCCTAATCATTTCTGGCAAATGGATGTCACTCATATTGTGGAATTTGGCAAATTAAAATTTGTACATGGGATCATAGACACTTATTCAGGATTTTTAATGGCCAGAACACCACCTGGGGAAGCTACAAAACATGTAATTATGCATTGCTTGAAGTGTTTTTCCTATATGGGAATACCAAAAATTATTAAATCTGTTAATAGTTCTAGATATAGTAGTAAAGCATTAAAGCAATTTTGTATCCAATGGCAAATTGAACAAAAAACAGGCATTCCTTATAATCCCCAAGGACAAGGCATAGTGGAAAGAGCTCATGGCAGTCTTAAAATACAACTTGAAAAAATAAAGAAAAGGGAAATTTACCCTCAATCTCGACATAATACATTGAATCATGTTCTTTTTGTTCTGAATTTTTGGAATATGGGTGTCTGCTAGCAATCTTCTGTGGATACATGTTGGCGATTTTTGCTCAGGTGAAATGGAAAGATCCTTGCACAGGATTATGGAAGGGTCTCCACCCTGTTTTAATATGGGGTTGAGGACATGTTTGTGTTTTTTCACAAGATGAAAATGAAGCTCAATGGCTGCCTGAGCATTTGGTGAGGAGTGTGGAACAGAGGAAGGTCAGTTCCAATGACATTCCTCTAGAGGAACTGGAGTGAAAGCAGCTTAACCAATGTCCCTGATATTAAGGTTCCTTCCTGCAGTCTGGGGAAAATAGAAGACTTAGGGGACCCCCAGACTGCTGAGGACAAAGATTTTGTCACTATTTAGTAAAACCTGAAAAGAAATGAAGCTCGGAGCCACACCACTTTTGTCTGACAACAGCAAATCAATGGAGGCTCCTTTAAGAGAAAGGTAGTGCCTAAAAGTGACACAGAGAGTTTTTTCTAAGAGCTTTGTGGCAGCTCAATATAGTAATTTCACCCTCACCCTGAGGTGAGGCTTCTGCTGTAACTGAGTAAAGCACTCAGGGGATCTGTAATAAGTTTGGGTAAAGGGACAGCCCCTAGTTAGAAACTGTCTGTTGCTGGGCGGTGGTGGCACATGCCTTTAATCCCAACACTCAGGAGGCAGAGCCAGGTGGATCTCTGTGAGTTCGAGGCCAGCCTAGTCTCCAAAGTGAGTTCCAGGAAAGGTGCAAAGGTACACTGAGAAACCCTGTCTCAAAAAAAAAGAAAGAAGGAAGGAAGGAAGGAAGGAAGGAAGGAAGGAAGGAAGGAAGGAAGGAAGGAAAGAAAGAAAGAAAGGAAGAAAAACTGTCTGTTACTGAGAGCAGCTCTACCAGTTCCAGAATGGCCTAGAAAGCTCAGCAGAAAAGGTGACTTTGGGGGAGTGGCATTGTCCCAAGAGTGTTACAGCCCCCTAGCAACAAGTGTTACAATTCCATAGTGACAGCACTCACTAAATCCCAGGGTTGATGAAGAGCCATTCATGAATTAGGCTCTTGTTTTCAACTGTCAGGAAAACTTTCAGAATAATATCAAAGCTGACTATAAACTCTGAACTTTAGAAATGATTTGTGTACTTCTTGTCTTGTTAATAGTTTAGCTAAGAAATCTCTTGCAAATGTTAAGAAATCGCTTCTAGATGCTTGATTGTGTAAGTTAGTTCTGTTAAGAGATTCTTTCCAGATGTCTGTATAGTTCTATAGAGTTTCCTCTTAAATATAAGTTTGGTAAATAGTTCTTCCAAGAAATCTCTTCTAGATATGTGATAAAGTTTGTAACATATTTTCCTTATGAATATGTTTGTAAAATAGATCTATAGAGTTTCCTCTTGAATGTAAGTTTCTAAGAAGTATAATTAAGTAAGCTTGTCAAAAGAGTAAATATGTATAGTGATAGTAGTTCAGTTAAGAAATCTCTTCTAAATGTTAGGAAATCTCTTCTAGATGTTAGTTAAGAAATTTCTTCTATAAGCTTGGTAAATAGCTAATAAACCTCTTCTAGATATTTGCTAATGGTAATCCTACAGAGAGTTTCCTTTTGAATATAAGCTTATAAGAAGTATAAATAAGTATATGTTATATGTGATTTTATGTAAAATGTAAATGTTAGTGTAAATCTAAATGTTTCATGTAAGTTTATAAAATGTAAATATGAATAGTGATGTAATTTTGTAAGAAGTGTAAATACATATATTTACACTTAGCCAATAGCCAAGCTAGGTATAAATACCTACAGTAAATGGTCATGACAGTTATAAATATATCATGTTTATTTGAGAATTGTGTTGATGTTAATGAACTAGAGTTTGCTGACTCTAAGGGAATCTTTAAGTTTGGTGTAATTTATTTGATGTGGTTTGTATCCAGAGTTTATTGTTTTAATAAAAAGGAGGCTTGGCACAGATAAGGCTGCTATAGACTATGGTGATATTGTGTTCCCCAATATATTATGCACTCTAATAAATTTATCTAGGTTCAGAGAACAGAATAGTCACTAGATACAGAGGCCAAAAAATGGTGGTACACCTTTAATCTGAAGGCAGAGATCCATTGGGATCTCTGTGAGTTCAAATCCACATGGGAAACAGCCAGGCAATTTGACACATGCCTTTAATCCCAGAAGAGATGGCAGGAAGCAGAAAGGTATATAAGGCATGAGGACCAGGAACTACCTGTCTAAGCCTTTAGGCTCTTGAGCAGCAGTTCAGCTAAGATCCATTTGGATGAGGACTCAGAGGCTTCTAGTCTGAGGAAACAGGATCAGCTGAGGAAGTGGCAAGGTGAGGAAGCTGTGGCTTGTTCTGCTTCTCTGATCTTCAGTCATTCACCCAAATACCTGGCTTCAGGTTTGATTTTGTTAATAAGGCCTTTTAAGATTCATGTTACAAAAGCCATCTTAAGATACATTAAAAAAAAAAAGGATATTCCATCTTTATCATCCTCCACTCGTATACTGGGAGGTGTGGCAACTATGGAGATCACTGAGGATGGTTGTAAGCTCAATAGGAACCTGAGCGAGAGCTAAGTTAAACTCAGTAACCCCTCCTGCCAGAGGCTGAAAGCCAGAGACAGGCAACTCTCTCCGGATGGCTTCCAACCTAATAGAAGTAATAATCAGGGAGAATGACCTAAGACAGACCTTTTAAAAAATTAAGAGGAGGAATGTGTGGGAGCCCACAAAGGTTTCCTAGTGAGATCTGAGCCTGCTTTACACAGCAGGCCTTCATTAGGGGATGGCTTGACAATATGCATGGTTACCAGATATTTGGGGTGGTCTACAGTTAACTGTGCTGGGGTAAGGTCTTTTGCTCCACCCCTTAGCATTCCTTTTTTTTTTTCATTTTTCTTTATTAAGAAATTTTCTACTCACTCCAAATACCATCCACAGCTCCCACCTTCTCCTCCTCCCACCCTCCACGCCCTCTTTCCAAGCCACCCCACATCCCCCAAATCAGGGTCTCCCATGGGGAGTCAGCCGAGCCCAGCACACTGAGCCTAGGCAAATCCAAGCCCCTTCCCACTGCATCAAGGCTGTGCAAGGTGTCACACCATAGGCACTGGATTCCCAAAGCCTGCCCATAGACCAGGGACAGATCCCGATCCCCCTGCCAGGGTACCCCACAAACAGTTCAAGCCCAGTCCAATGGGGGCTCCACAGCCCTTAGTCCACAGTTCATGTGCTTCCTCTAGTGTGGCCGGTCATCTCTGCAGTGCTCCCATGATGATCTCTACATCCCTCGCCTGCAGAATCCCTCCTCTCTCTCATCAGTTGGATTCCCAGATCTCAGCCTGGTGCCTGGCCATGGATCTCTGAATTTGCCTCCATCAGGCAAAGACTTCATGATGACAGCTATGGATATTCACTAGGTCGGTCACCAGGGTAGACCAGTCCAGGCACCCTCTGGACCACCCCTTGGCATTCCTTTTAAAACCCTTGGAAGAGACAGAAGGGGACAATGGGTATTGATCCAGGCCCTCCTGAGGCTACCCTGTGTTTCTGTCTCTCTCCCCCTATATTTCTATCTAAATATTTCTCACTTCTCCCTCCTCAAGAGTACCCTGGGGGGGGGATGTGGGGGCTGGTCTCCCTCAGTAAGTACAATCCCAAAATACATGACTTGTAAACATGGACATATATACATCTGAGTAGCTCTGCCCCAGAGTTAATGTTTGTTTCTACTCTTCTAGATCCTCAGAGAACATTGCAGGGTTGATGCTACTTTGCAAGGCGTTTTTTTCCAGGGTCTCTTGGTCAAGCCTCTGCATTGTAAACCTCACTACCCATGCTTCAGGCACATTAGGCTCCCTGCATTTCTTCTACTGCAGAGCTGGACTTCACTTTATTCTCCTTTTTCAGGACTTGGACAAAAAGTTCTCCAAGCCTTCAAATCTCTTGTCTTTCTTTCTAGTTACAAATCTTGTTGATTCTCAAGTGAGGCTTTGAGAAGTCATGGGATGAGTTTAGGATGAATAACAAGGGGAAGCTGGGTGTCACATAAGAGTGAAACTCTGCATCTTCTCTAATTAAAGAGAAACTGGATACCAACAGATGGACAAATCCTGTGTCTTCCTCTCTGTTCAGAAGCTGCAAAGAAATCAAGCAGGAGATCAGTGGAGCACAAGGTGAGTGATGAAGCATTTAAAGAGCACACAGTAATCCTAACATTGGGAGCCCAAATCAGAGGATTGAAATCTCCAAGGCAGCCGGGGAAGACCCTGTCTCAAAAATACAAAACAAATAACCCACTTAAGAAATCATGCTTTTGGCCTCTGGAACAGCTTTGCTTTTTGATATAGAAAATGGGATACAATTTACATAGTGGATAAAAATTGCCACTTACCAATTTGAAGGGTTTACACAGTCAAGAACAACTTTCACAATGGTATGGACCAATACTATCCATCTCCAGAAAGTTTTCATTTCTTAAAAAGAAATTCTGTACCACAAAGTAATAAATTCCTGTATTCCCTGTGAGCTGCTGTTCTGTTTCCTACTTCTAAGAATCTGTCAATTCTTGTTACCTCATATGAGTAATCTGCCTTATTTCATTAACATGCTTCAAGGCTCATATGTGATGTAGAACAGTTAATTTATTTTAAAAAGATTTATTATTATTACTGTGTACATATGCATGGCTGTGTGTGAGAATGTGTACACATATATGTATGTACATACAGAGTCCAGAAGACACCATCTAGTCCTCTGGAGCTGGAGAGAGAGGCACTTGTACACTGACAAGTGTGAGTGCTGGGAACCTAACTCAAGTCCTCTGCTAGAGCAGTGCTTGGTCCTAACCACAGAGCCATTTCTGCAGCTCACTTCATTCTTATTCACCTGTTGGATATAAAGTAATGTACACAATATATATTTTGCATAACAGACAGCACAGATTATCGCTTATTCCTTTTTCTGTAGAGAAATACTTGCATTGTTTCTGCCATCCAGGTTTTGTGACAAGAGTTGGAATGAACAAGAATGTAGATAACTGAAGCCCCATTCTCAGTTCTTTGAATACATACCAAGTAGAGTTCCTAAGTCCTTTATAATACTATGTTTAACTTTAGAAATAAATCACTGACAGTTTGGATAATTCTGTGTTCTGCCTCAATCACAGAAGGATGACTTTCTACACTCAGGCAGATTCCCAGGGACACCTGTGATAGGACACTCAGAATATGAGGCATTAGGCATAGTTGTACTTCCTGGAGTCATTCTGCCTCTGGATCAGAGATGGATAAAGAGCCTGCACACAGGACTGTGGACTGGTTCTCTCTACAGATGGCCTCTATTTCCTCCGCACGGAGAATGGTGTCATCTACCAGACCTTCTGTGACATGACCACTGCAGGTGGTGGCTGGACCCTGGTGGCCAGTGTGCATGAGAACAACATGCTTGGGAAGTGCACAGTGGGTGATCGCTGGTCCAGTCAGCAAGGCAACAGAATCGACTACCCAGAGGGGGATGGCAACTGGGCCAACTACAACACCTTTGGGTCTGCAGAGGGGGCCACAAGTGATGACTACAAGGTTGGTACACTCTGTGGCCACTTGGGAAAGGGTGAGGATGTGAGTGTAGCTCAAGCATGCCTGGGAGAGGGTTGGAAGGTTGCCCTTCAACACAGAGCTAAACAATAAAAAATACTTATCTTGAATCTCAACATACTCCAAAGTTGGCTTTTCAGTTAGTTGGTGGTGGTGGTGATGGTGGTAGGATAGTTATCCTTAGA